AAGAAGTGTTTCGCGGATTGCAATTCAGACACGACCCGGCTTATAATTGGGATGTGCGCCTCCAAAAAGGATGCCACCGTGCAAATTAGATTCAGCTTTGTTGCTGGTTAATCCCTCTGGACATCCCGTTATTTAACCCTTAGATATCTCAGCATTTCAAATTAACGTAAAATACACAGTGTATATATGATTTCGAAAAAACCCCGTTGTTTTAATCAATTAATAATTTCGGAACATTTAAGGCACACAGTACGCCTTTAGTTTTATTATTAATAACGACGCAAAAATATCTATTTTTCGTAATTAATTTCAGTAGAAAGTAAAATATAAAGAAAGAAATTATACACTAGTCACATTATAATACTATATATTAAATTAATACGTTCTTTCCGTGTCGAATTGTTTAAAGAAATAATTTTCTGATCGTTCTTAGTAGAATGTAGGTATAAGATTACAAGTTATAATAAATAAGATATAATAAATTATAATTTTTTAGATCAGTATTTGCCTCGTCGCGTTTCTCAAGCCAAATTACTAAAAGTAACGTATAGTTTTGTTCAAGTTTTCGTCGAACATCTATTTGTTTGGCTTGCGTCATTGGACGCAAATACCTACATGGCGGTCTGCCTCTCATCGCGTACAGTATCCACGCAACCAGCGTAAGTCCAACAAGTCCCACTCAAAGGGGACATAACAGTACATATCGTGTACGTCCGGAACACGTCGTGGCAATCTCGTTACCCGGCTAAAGACGTGTCTACCCCTCGGCAACATTCGAAGACGCCCGGCCGAAAGCAATTTCGCTTAAACCTCTCTCGGCGCGTCTCGTTCATGACGCTGTTCTTTCTCCTTTTCGCTGCTCGAAAACCTCCCGCTTTCAAAAGATCGTTCCTATGTGCCGAAATAGTGCTTGCTATTCGCTAAGGACCAATGCACCACAGACAGCGAGTGATAAGAAAATTCAATTGCGTTGCAATGTCGCACGTCGACAATGTTAAAAGGACCCAATCCTGCAAAAAGAGATCTTTCCTCTTTTTTGTCAAAAAATTCCCAAAAAATTCTAGCGGGTTGTTCCACGTGAAATATTGCATACCAAAAGTTTCAGTTTTGTATAGTATACCGATAAAGTCAACGTTTTCCGATAATCGAGTGTTATCACATTAAAACGATACGTTTCTTTTGCATTTTATCGCTCATGCAAAATATTTGCGATTTTCCGAGTTACACTAAAATTGTCTGAAACGGCTGAAAACTAGAAACTTTTTTCGCATGACGTTATTCACACAACCGTTTTTAAGTTTTTATATAAATTGCTATTAAGTGCAATTACAAGCTTTATAAGTTAGATAAGCGTTTATAACTTTTAGCATCGTGAGTTAAAACAAAGTTCAGCGTACTAATAATCAAATTAGTAATCCCTTAATTCCCTTTTAACGAAGACAAATTTTCTCCTGTGTAGATACCTTCATGAAATCTTCTTGCTCTTATAATCAACGTAGATCGAACGGGATTAAAAAGCGATTACGCGATAACGAGCAATTTAACATCAATGTACTCTTAATGATCTTGCGATAAGATCAAGTCTCGTTAGAATGTGATATGTTCGCGCATGTTAAACTTATCTACTTATCTACTTACTACGCGATAACGAGCAATTTAACATCAATGTACTCTTAATGATCTTGCGATAAGATCAAGTCTCGATAGAATGTGATATGTTCGCGCATGTTAAACTTATCTACTTACAAAGATATCCAAAAATCTCATTTATCAAATAAAATTCATTTATAAACAACAATTAATAAAGGCAAAATGATTTATACATGACTTTACAAGCTGCATTTGACATTGATAAAGTTTAGACGAAATATTATTGCGGGGGGATCGTTATTATATTTTAAAGAACTTATTATTCTTATTTTCAGAATTTTAGAGTTTAAAAACTTGAACTTTTTCATCATTTTTACTTATTGAAAAAGATAATCTTATCTTATTGTCCTATTGGCAGAATTTAATATGCTAAACTTTGTTTATTTCGCAAAAATATAAATTACAATTTTAGTAAAAAAATTCCGAAAATTCAATATAGCGTTAAACCGCTAAAAAGATTTATCAACCATAATGCTGGCAAAAATAAATCAAGCTAAAGGTTATATTGCAAAACGTGGAAATTGTTCCGCGCTAATGTTATGGGATAATTCCTTAAACGTTTAATAATATAGTAATTCCGTTTACGATATTACACGCACACTAATAAGATGATCTCGAGTATACATTTATATCCGCGTGGGCAAGATAATTAACACGATAGCAACGTCGAAATGTTGGCATGCTGACGGTTTACTGTACGGTGCATTTAATTCCGCGCGCTAAACTGGACGGAATGGAGCTTTACTTACTTTGCAGACACGATGAAAATTACACTGAACTACACAAAAAGGAAAGATATTACTCGGATGAACGAAACGCAATCATTTCCTTCAAGTTTAAATAAATATCACATGCGGCGAACAAGTTACACGTCGATGTATGTAATAAATTCTATCTTTTGACGTCGCTATCCCGATAATTATTCTTGTGGGAAATTAATTCGTTTAATGAAAATATTTTGCAGCTCTGTTTAGTTACACATGTCGGGTAATTTACGATTAATATTCAAATGTTTTACACACCATAAATAATTAATAAAATAAAATAAGAAACATGCATAATGAAATACATTGCAGGAAGATACAAGAAAAACCTTTGATAATATTTAAGTTATTGTTACGTATACAAAGTATCTCGGGGTACAGAGATGTATTAACTACAGAATTTGTCGGATCGACTCCTTGTTTCGTCGTGTTATCGTTAATTAAGATAGTTTGCTTCGTCCTGTTTTTCTTTTTTACACGTTCTCACCTTGGGGAATGCGAACTATCGACGGACAAAATTTCACAGGGTTTTAATTACAAGCAAAAAAAAATCGATTTCTAATTCCCAGTTCAGTGGTGCACCATACGGGACAATTCCCGCAGGTTCGAGAGACAGGAAAGATGAAAAGGAAATTTCCCGTTGTACCCAACCGGCTGATTCCACTCTTAAGTGGAATGTTTTGAAATTTCTCGTCATTAACGGAAAGATGAAGGAAAAAAGCGTAGTTCAGCAAAAAGAAGGGAAAGAAAGAAAACCATTTACGAATTCATGTGTATGTAATGTAATGTAATGTATATGTAATGTCCTTTTTTTTGCGCCATTTTTTGTCGCAGCGGAAAAGGGCGTGGTAACGGCTCTGGCGGTGTTATTTTTTTCGGCAAACCGGTAGCGGTTTTCGGACTGCGTTTCATGTGAAATATTTTCAAATGAAAAGAGTACAATTAAAAAAAAGGACGCGCACACCAGTGATATTTGATAGTATTACAAATGTGCGACATTGCGAAATTATCGCGCGGAGTTGTTGCGAGAATGTAGAGCGCAAAATTCCATAACCGCAATTGTGAAACTCACCCTCGAGCTCTCCCGTCGGATGCACGGCTTCCACAGGGTCGTTTAATCTTAGGACAGGATATGCCTCACCACAGGTGATCAACGACGCTTTAATAGTCACCTGTGACACAACAAATACAACTCTCATTTTCGACTCCCGAGACTCTCATTCATATTAATCATACAATAATATATACTAAAGTATTTTGCATTACAAGAACATTTTTATCGTATATTCTATTTCATTAACTATAATATTTATTTGAAAGTCTAAAAATTCATATTTAATGATTGAATCCGGACAAAAATTACAGAATTTTTCATCAACAGATATCGGAAAAATTATACAAATTTAAATCGATAATAATATAAATGCGCTACTAAAAAAAAAAAAGGAATAAATGTAGCGCATTTATATATTATAGATCTCAATTTGTAACTCTTTTGATTTTCCACTGATGAAGGACTTTATAGTAGTTCAAAACGTTTGGGGGGAATTCAATGTTCAATCATTAAATATGAATTTTTTAGAAATAAAAATTACATTTGATTTGAATTACTTGGAAATAAACATTACATTTGACATCTTATATTGCTCGTCTTAATTTGACTTCGTTTCATCATTTGTTGGATACTATTACAAGTTTTATTTATTAACTTCATTCTATTTCATATTTTAATATAGATTTCATACTTGTATTAATATTTATCTGTCCATTGATATAAATTTATTCTTTATTATATTAAAAAAAGAAAATAGGCCAGAATCATGCAACTAAACTCTTTTAAAACTACTTATTATTGCAAATCCATAAATATATGTATATATCCTTTTTTTATATTATATGCGAAAATAATATGTGTGTTTCTGTAAAATAATATTTAATTCACTTTATTCTGGCTACTCATTAGAAAATAACAATTATTTAATTTCAACAACCTCTCGATAATAGTCACTCTACATCTTGCCGGGCGAATGATAATGATTTCCTAATTATCGAAAATTTTCATGGATCAGTTGAGTTCTTCGACAGTACGTAAATTAATCGGCAAATTAGCAATACGACTTTCCGTTATTGCAAAGGACGCGAGATAGGGCTCCGGGTTATGCAACAGCCATACGACAGTAATGGCGTTCGCAGCTGACGACGTTAATAGAAGGATTTTGGGGACAAGCCTCCTCCCTCCGTCCGTCAGACTAATTAACCTCGTTATATCGCCGGTCCAACCAACAGGACGCTACTCCTGTTCCCGATGTAACGATCGTCGTACCTCTGTACGAACCAACCCGACGCGAGACATCTCCCGTCGAGAGAGTTTAATTAATCTAATGACGGTCTCCGTAACATCCTTGAGTGACCGATGTAACCCAACGTGAAGTAGATATACGAGGACATATCGTGTGTCTTTGGCTTGTTTAAAGTTGACTGTTTCTTTTTTATTAACGCAAGTGTTGCAATAACGTTATTGCTCATAAAAGAACAAAAAGTTTCCATAATAAACAACGTCCTCACCTGGAACTTTTGTTGAACGGGAAATCGTTTCCAGCTCGAGAAATAAAAAATTATGAAGCAGAACTGGGTCATCCAATTCAAAATATTCATGTCATTAAGTCTCAAATTTGAAAATATACATTTTCATACAAGGGTTTGCATTGGTAGAAAGGTTCTTGCTGAGTTATCTAAATGGATATAAAATCGAGGCATCGGAATACGAATTGGATTTCGCTAAAAGTCCAGTCTGGAGTGACCAGATGCTACATAGATCGATGGTAACTTTAGTTTTAGCAACTGTCGCGCATTTGTTACTGTTCCATCATTGGATGTCACAGCTGACGATCGATGGATCCGATCGAAATACGAAAGGCCGCAGCTTGCGACAAGCATAACGATCCGCCGTCACAAATCGAATTTAGCATTCGAGGTAACGTTGTGGACATTCGAAAAATCCGCGAAAAGCAACAATTTTATTTCCGTCCAGCCAAGCGAGATTCATATTTCAAACTATCCGATCTATCATTCCTTTTTTACCAAAATGATCAAGTACCAAATGTATCACGAGTACTGATAAATGATCAACGTACATATCGATATAACGCAAAAAGATGATTCTATATATTTAAAAATGCATAATAAAATTCTGACGTACCTATATAAGGTTTCATTTTCAAGGAAAAAAAAGTCGGTATCAATCGATAGACGGAAGCCCACGCGGTTCAAAGTAACGAAGACCTATGGGTGCATTGCTCCAACGGGAGACATTAACCGGAAGTAATTCCACCTCCATCAGGTGCCTCGTCATACTGTTCATTACTTATCGATCCGACTGGCGAAATTGAATTTAGCGGGAAAGAGCGACGGAAAAAAGAGGTCGATGGAGTGTCAGGGGAGAAAAAATGAGAAACGAGTAAGAGGTAGGCAGGGTACGTGTTCCGAACCGTTTCCGTGTGCCAAGAGCAAAAGGTGGAAGTGCAGTGAGAAGAGAGATCGAAATAACTGATCGAAATAACCGAGAATCGAGAAGCGAATCTCGCACTCTCTCTCTCTCTCTTTCTCTCTCTCTCTCTCTCTCTCTCTCTCTCTCTGGTGGAATTTATCGCGTTAGTACTGTGAGCGAAGCTCTAACACACCCGACACCAGGATTCCAATTAGCCACTTTAACCATTTCGCGAGATCGAATCCTACCGATTCTCATCTCGTTCTCGTCTCCTCTTTCTTCCCCTCGCACCCTTATCTTGCGAGACCTCGCGCCGATCTCGGAATAGCATTGGGGATGATGTTGGAGTACTTTACTTCCGAGTATACCCGATTACGTCGAGCATCACGGGTATTAAACGCTTACTAATTCGATATCTTCGATAATATACTATAATAGAATCTTCATCATTTCCATTATCTGAATGTTCTATCATTTGAACAGAATATTCGATGTGTATAGAACGTCGTTTACTTCTCACACAGAGAAATACTACACGCTTACTTACTTTCTAAAGATATGAAAGATGCTTCTTGACTTTGGAACGTTAAACAAAAGGCTGTAAAAGATGGCATAAAATTAACGTAACTTTACGTAGGAGCTGCGTTAACAGACTTATACATAATTTAGCAGACGTGAGAAGGCCATAAACGTGAAAGCGAGCCGTCGAGTTCTGCTCAGATCTTTCTTCTCTTTGAAATAAATTAAGTTGAGCGTCAGAAAGACGATTGCTGTTGGAAAGACGAATCGAAATCGAAACGGCGAAACAATTTAGATAATTTTATCAAATTCGTTCTCTCCTCGCGTTAGAAAAGTGGACTAGATCGTGTTGTCATCGCATCCAAACTCATCGTATCGACTTGTTCCGCTGGGATGGAATTCCGATGGATGGCATTTTCTCGACGGCGCGATTTCCGCTCGTACAGTCGTGCAATCGTAGATGCGCGCGCGCGCGCGTTCACGTAAAATAATAACGAAAATAATGCAAGTTTTGTTTTGCACTTGTTCGCAATTTTTTTCTGCCATTCTCTTCTTTTCTTCGTCCACGACTCCTTTTTCCGATGGTATTTCGCTTTTATGTTCTCGTATAATAACAAAGTATTGCTGCGTTTCTCTCTCTCCCCCCCTCCCTCTCTCTCTCTCTTTCTCGCTCTGCTTTTTATTTTCCCGACAATGTTTCTTCTCCGTGTCCATCGTCGACTTCCTTAACTTCGCCTTATGGAGAACGCTCACCGCTGTCTCGCGTCTTGCGTTTCGTTTTGCGAAACGCAAGCTTGCCGTCGTCGGCGAAAAAAATCCATCTTCACCAAAGAAACTGGCGACGTAAAGTAATTCTTCACCGCAAATACCGTAAGGTATAGCGTAAAGCATAAATGTCGACGAGAAAGGGAACATAACACGGGTGAAATTGCGGGTCGCGCGATAATATTGAATATTTCCATATTTCAAACATATTCTTTTCCATAATATTTCGAAATTTATATATTTTGCATTCGAACCACGCGTTTCGAAGTATCCCGTGCATTTGCACCCGCCACGCCAAAATATGTTTTTACCTGTATTTTTTCGCCTCTATAAATTATAAAACATTTATAAATAACATCTACTAGTATAACTCGTACAACTCAAATAAAGAATTTCATAACATATATTTTTATTGTACTAACCATTTGACAGAGTGTGATTTAGAATGCGTCATGTGTATCGGCAAACTCTAATTTTCCTTTTAACGTGAAATGGTACGTACACGTTATTGGATTTCACAAAGTGTCCCGCAGTTTTGAAAGTATTCCCGCGGTATTGGATGAAATTGCGGTATGCGCGTGCGATACTATATGGACGTAAACTGCGTTTGTTGACGGATGTATTTAGCGCGTGGTCCGAGAGGATGACGAGAGGAGAGGAGAGGAGAGGAGAGGAGAGAAGAAGAGTGTCGCACGCATGGCACATTGTGTCGCGCGCATATCGCGTCGCCGTTCATCGTTTCATTCGAGCTCGTTAACCATCGTTAGCGCTCCCGTCCGCGTCGGTTCCCTTGTCGACCAACCCGGCTCGCGGCTCGCGGCTCGCGGCTCGCGGCTCGCCGCAAAAACCGCGAAACGCGCGCGACTAAACCGTCCCGGACGGAAAGCCGCAGACTTACCAGCAGTTTGATCTTTCGTCTAACGTTCGTAACGGTAATTGCGCTTAACGCTTGCATATAGGTATTCGAGAATGTCGAGCGACTCGTGTCGTCTTCGCTATACTTACTCCCTTCGCAGATAGAAAAGATTCCTCATGCCGACGACGAAAGGAATTCTAAAGAGGAAGATTTATTATAACGGTTACGTTTTCTTATACAATTGTGAGAAACGCAACTGTAATAATTATATATATATAATCGCAACTTTCTGTAAAATAATAATTATGATAATTGCCTCTTTTCGCGTAGTTCTTCCTATTTCTCATTTTATCTTAAGCTTTCTGGAAGCTCGCGCGCGCCGCTACACTTTAGCGTTTACGACTTGAGGACAGAATGAGGGTTGACGCCCTTTTGGAAGACCGACTGCTTTGACTAAGTACCTCTTCAGAACATAGGGTACGCCCGTCAACGCGTTGATGTTAGTGCCGTGTCTCGTTTGCGGCCACGGAGATTCTCGCAATCAT